ACAACCGAGTCAGAGCGACTCCCCGCTGCTCGCCTGAGCCACACTGAGGCATCGGTTCTCATCTTTTGCTCACAGCTCGGCAGAGCCAGCAATGGAAAATCCTCTTTCCTATGGCGGGGGCGAATATCGCATAATTTAATAGGTCAATCGCGATTGCCTTCTCTCCACAAAGTGGTATCTGTTTTATTCACCATATGCGACTGATGGGCTGAGTGCACTCTCCAACTGAGTCAACGCTTGTTCGACAGCTCAGCGACTTGGCCGGGGTGAAACCAATGCAGCAAATACAATTATTGTTGTAATCATAATTGTCATCATCATGAATAGTGGCCGCTTAACTGCAACCTCCTGGGCGGAATGGCATTGGCATCAGCGATCATCCATCGATGGAACGGCAGACAGGAGGATGCGAGGGGCGGGTGCCAGCTGGGTGTATACAACAAAGACAAAAACACAGATTCCCGTACAGCCTTAACAAACTGGTAGGGCGATATTTTACACATTGCACCAGGCACTCATTTGAGTCTGAGCCAATCTAGGGAGAGGTCCAGAAGCAACTCGTGTTGTCCGTGAGCGGGAATCGAACTCTGGTTGCCGGGTTCACGGACACAAACACGCACACGGCAAGACACGCACGGCAAGACACACACGGACGCGCGCGCCTCACACGTGGCGGCGGTTACCCCACCACCTCGTGCTCGCGGAAGCTCCGTGCCGTTCGATAAGAGACGCCACCGGCGGTGGTGCGCGGGCGTGGGGCGCGGGGGGTGGGGGGGCAAGCGACAGTGGGGTGGGGAGCAGCTCGATTATCTCTGCACGGCTGTGGTTTGCCGGTGCCAGTGGAAAAAAAACCCTGGCCCGGTGCGCGCGTGAGAGCAGGAGGGACGCGGGAGCGTGCCAAGCCGAATGATGAGGCGGTCGTAATCGCGAGGCGCACACGCGACACCGCAGCGTGACACACGGCTTCGCGAGCTGCAATCCTCCTGTACCCCCCCCCCCCCCCCCAAACGGCCTGCCCCGTCCTCCCCCTGCTGACCCCTCCCCCCGTCCTCCAGCCCACTTCGACACTTGGACCCCTCGCGAGATTCCCCCCCCCCCCTTATACAACAACAGCCCCATTCGCTACCAAGTGACTTGACCACAATGCGAGTGTCAGGTTCGGTGTGCCTAGTGACGGCATCGCATAGCTTTCGATGTGCACCAAGTGACGTCATCACAGCCCTTGTGCCAGGCTAGGAGCACTCCGAGGCCACGATAATTGTCGAAGACTCTTTGGCAGGAGGTCACGGAACAGACTCAAGTGATTGATCGAGATGACTGGCAGGTGCACGACCTGTGCTCCCCACTGTGCCAACTTTCTGCGTTTTAGCTTCCCGGCGCTCCACTCGTTGTTGTGAGGGTCGCTCCTCCGTACTCCAATGTTGTTGGAGGGCGACTGCCTCCGACTGCCGGAAGTCGCGTCTTTCACAAACCCCCTCCTCTTTCCTCCTCTCCGCTCCGAACCCTTCACAATCCCCATCACCCAAACCCACCCCATCGCTGTGCGGAACAAGGGAACGCAACTGCGCCCCTCCCCCCCTCCGTGCGGCCTTCGCGAAGACAGCAGATTCTTTATCCCCCCCAAGCGCCACGAGGTGAGGTGGGGGACAGACCGCGCCGCGCCAGGACTCTTGTTAAGAGAGCCCCTCTGCGCGATCTATTTGCGGCTATTTGCGCGCATTGCAGCCCGCTATGGGGTGCACTGGCAAATCGTGAATCGACACACTATCCCCTGCTGCCCTCTGCACTGCCCCCTCTTCCCTCCTCGAGCGGCGGTGATGGGAGCATGGGGTGGAGAGGGGGCGCCCTCAGCCGAAGTTGAGATGTCGCGGCGTGGTGTGTCGCGTTACAGGGAATGTGTTCATGATTTCAACTTTCGCGGGCCGGGTCCCTCCCGCGCGCGTCTGCAGGCGGTGATCAGATTCACATGGGGGGGGGGGTAGCTCCGCGCCCCCCCCCGTACCCTCCCGGGTGGGGAGGTGTTTGGGGGAGTAGCACGCCCCCCCCGCCCCCCCGCCCCCTACGTGCCAATTATTGTATTTAAAGACGGGACTCAAAACAAACAACTCTGTTCTGTATCTACGTTGGTTTCCGGATTAGGCCACGTGGCGGTAGTTTTGTGCCATAAAAAATATATTGTCGTCAACCCTCCACCACCCGACAAGATCGTCACCTTTACATACCTTTACTATTCATAAACGTTCCGATTCATCGATCTGATTCTGACCAGGTAAGCCTCTCCTCCTCACATTCTTCCGCGACTGAATCCAACACCAACGTTGTGGTGACGTTTCGCTCAACCTGCTCCGAGCTTCATCAGCGGGCGCGCCCCGGAGTCTCCTGCCCGGACCCTCCACTGCCCACGCGAGCGCCGTTCCAGCGACCCCACGAATCCCCTTCAGTATCGGGATCGTCGTCGTGTGAATACGCGCATGACTCAACGTTCAAACGACGTCACGGCAGCGTTCTAATGCCACCACATCAGGCCTTAGCTTGTCAGTAAGCGTTGTTGTTGTTGTTGTTGTTTGACTGACGCAGCTCCGCACTCACGTGGGGCGGCTCGGGACGCACATCCCGGGACGTGTAGCTACAAGGGAAGAGCTGCCAGTGTCTCGGGTTGCACTTCCCCCGCGATTCATGTCATAAACGCATCGCCAGGACTAACGAACTCACCATCGCCGCGCGTCTTCCGACTCACGAGGTATCCCTAGCGAACAGCTCGTCTGCAGAGGGGGGGGGAGGGCGCTAAATCTCCTCACCTCCCCTTCTGCCCCCAACTGCTGCTCTGCTCTCTCCGGCGGGCTGAGAGAGTTGCAAATCACCCAGAGAGTGGGGAGAGAAAGAGAGAGGGGGGAGGACAACCAACACCGCGCCCTCTGCCCCCGCTCGCCCATCGCCTGGCGCTATCGTTTCCCTTTTAAAAAATCTGGAGAGGACCTCTGCCCGGCGCAGTTGGGGGGGGGGGGGGGGCGGGATGGGGCACGGACCTGGGCTATTTTGGAGAGAGACATTCGTGTGCGGCCGTGGCAAAAGCGGTGATTAGGCGTCCGATGACATCGCGGCGCGTTTATATAACGGCTCCCGCAGCGGGGGGGAGGGGGGGGTAGTGGGGGTGCCCACGAGAGCCACACTAGCCACATGGTTGATAGGGAACACGGGGTGCCCCGGCTGAGGATGGATGTTAGTCGGTCTCGTGGTGATGATGATGGTGGCAGTGATGATGGCAGTGATGATGATCACAAAGAAAATCTGTCTTAGCTCCCTGAACCACGTGTTTGATCGAAAACGCGGCCCCAGGCTGAGAATGGTGATGATGATGCTGCTGATTGTGATGAGTGTGGCTTTTGATTTTAAGCTTTCGTGACTGCAGTAATTCATATTCTTAGCTCTTTCGGTAAAGTTACGTTAAAGGGAAACAATAAAATAATAAAATATATTTTGATTTAAAGCTTTCGTGACTGCAGTAATTCATATTCTTAGCTCTTTCGGTAAAGTCACGTTGAAGGGAAACAATAAAATAATAAAATATATATAAAACAATTAAAATTATCACGACGTTTCGACCATAACCGTTTGTGTTATGGTTGAAACGTCGTGAGAATTTGTATTGTTTTATATATATTTTATTATTTTATTGTTTCTCTTCAACGTGACTTTACCGAAAGAGCTAAGAAAATAAAATATATATAAAACAATAAAAATTATCATGGTCGAATCGTCGTGAGAATTTTTATTGTTTTATACGTATTTTATTATTTTATTGTTTCCCTTTTACGTGACTTTACCGAAAGAGCTAATAATATGAGTGTGGCTGTGCACCAATTTCTATGGCCACGTGACTATGTAGCCCAGTGACTGTCACGTGCTTCGATAACAACTCGGTGGAGTGTGTGAACTTCAGCACTGGAGAGACAAAGGCGTCCAGGGGTGGTGGTGTGGGGGGCGAGGGGGACGCTGGACAACACCACGATTTGGAGAGCCGTGTCGGCCTTCGCTTGTATGTCTCGGTACTCACAGCCCCTTGGCTAACAACAGTTGTGTGTAGGCAACACGGGGGGGGGGGGGGGGGGGGGGGCTTTGTCTTCGTCTTTGGGGTCAGTGGTTCAAGAACTCGGAGGCGCGGAGCCAGAACTCAAAGTCCCTCGCACGCAAACCTGAACAGGTGAGAGGCTTGTCATTGAACAAAGGCGGTAACTGCATCGCGCGCTTTAAGATGCGCTTCTGCGGCCGTCTGGAACGCTCTTCCTTTATATATTAGGTAGCCACTGGAGCTAGATTGGAAACTCATTTCTTTAAAATAGTTTTTTGTGTTTAATTTGTTGTCCTTCCAACGCACTTCCGATTAGCACGGTTGGCTACATACGGTGCGAAAGAAGTTCAACATACATACATGTGAGGGCTTGCATGGATGAGAGACTGGACGGGTGAAAATCTGGATGGGTGAGAGTGTGGATAGGGAGCAGCAATTAGATGCTCGATGTTTCTCTTGAAACTACGTCAAGCATGCTTAGGACATCCAAAGGCAGGTGAAATATAAATGATAAACAATATAATGGCCTGAAAAAGCATACGTGTTATTATGATCACGCTTTTGTACGGAGGAAAGCCTCACTGAGTCTCATGACTCTCTATCAGGAGGGTCCTGCCCCGTGTTCCGCAGTAGGGGGCGATGTTGATGCTGTGTGTAATCCCAATTGAGATAATTTTTCAGTCTTTGAGATGCTGTTGGGCATTACCAGCTATATTGTGTGTGTGGATTATTTAGCAACGCGAAGAAACCCGAGAACCCGACGGAAACCCAGGCAGAGCATGGGGAGAGAAAAAATACAAACTCCACTCGGGTCGAGTCGGGAATCGAACCCAGGGGGTTCTTGCTCTGTTGCCATGACGTCAACGTGCTATGGTGACGTCATGTTTGAACAGGCCATTTGCAGAGGTCACGCGGAGAGTAGGGGAGGTACCTGCATAGGGCTCTGCTCCCTCCTTGCCCGCGTCCCCGTATCCCAGGAAACTGTTCCCATGGAAACCGTTGGCAGACTCCATCTTGATTCGCTTCTCGGCCCAAGGTTGCGGCATGAGACCCGGGCGGCACGGGGCCTTTCCCAGGCCTGGGCGGGGAGAGGACACACAGACACAACACGGGGCCCTCAATTCCATTCACAGACGAACACCTCCAGTCGTCACAATCATAGCAGCACACGTGCAATGCGGGCCGTCAGTGATATTGGACCACATGTTATCGTGATGGTCAGTGCAGGTTGGTGGAGGCTGGGAGCATAGAAGTGCAGTACAACAATGTATTTCACAATGGACGTAGCCCTCCTCCGTTGCCCACCACGTAGCTTGGCGGCAGCCAACAACAGCTCGCTGTGCTGTGGCGATCGTCCATTCAAACACGACCCAGTTCTTCAGTCTACTTAGCTGCCCAGATCCCTCGAGATCGGGCCTGCTCCGGGTGATTTGGGTTTTGACGGAATAACCGGGGAACACAGGCAGCGGAGAAGGCGTGGAGTTGAAACGATCGCGAAATCTCACTGCCGGACAGAGCAGAGGGCGTTTGAAGCAAAGGCCTGGGCTGGTGTCATCATCGCAGATGAGTCGACTCGAGGGGTAGAGAGATTTGCCAGCGACACTCCATGTCCGTGAAGTTCGGAACAGTCCATCCTGGGACACGCGGGCCCAGGTACTGCACGCGGGGTGTCCCGGGTCGCCATTCCGCTGGCTCGGCGTGCGCCTCGCCGCGGTGTTTATCCTTGCGCCACGCGAAGCGGGCAGCGACGTGATGGTGCCCCCCCCCGTCCACACCCCCCCCCATCCTGCCCCCCTCCCCCCGCTCGCTCCGCACCACCTCAGCTGCCGCTGGCAGGCCCTGGCCCCGATTAACTCCCATTAAAGGTCAGCAACTCCGTGAGCCCCCCCCCCCCCGGGCCCACGCGCCCCCGTCCATCCCCCCTCCCACCTCTCCGCATTCATTTCCACGAAACAGTGGCACTGTTGCCACTGCCGATGCTATTTACGAGCCGCACCACTGTGTGAGAATGTTGTGGGAGCGATCGTCACAAGAATGGTATCAATAGTCGTGCCTGTGATGATGATGATGCATGGTGCGCGAGAACAAACAGACTGCCTTGGGGGGATGCTGCTGCTGCTGCTGTCAGTGGTGGTGCACAAGCACAGCCAACAACACTGCGGTTGTGGCGTGGACAGCAAAACAATATAAGTGACATATCGGGCAAGGGAAGCAGGACCATTGCCCGAAACGTTACGCATTACATATTCTTCATTTAACAGCGACGATGTTATTGACAAGATTTGTTTTTTTTTTATAACTCATATAAGTTGGCGTCGTTGTGGAGAATATATATTGTGAGAAAATAAGGAAGCAGTCAAGACGCCGCCTCCTTCACATAGCTGTCCGTCCACTTAGAATAGCAAACATAGAAAATGTGTTTGCACATCTCATCAGCCACACGGCCTTCTGGGAGTGCATAATGTCAGCAGCAATGGTTCTAGCAACAAGCAAACAAGACTGACTCGACTGATGAGACAGTTTGCTTGCTTGGTGGCCAGAGTTGTGTTCGAGGTTGTAGGCAACCCCCGCTCACAGTGAGTGCGGGGTGTGGGATGCGCGCCTCTCCCAGAGGCTCCTCTGCTCCCACGTGAATGAGAATTGGAAACCCACAGTTGTCACCACCTTGCTACCATTGTGAATCAGAACATTCACACGGAGTGGTGAGGGGGTACGAGGCAGAGCGGGGGTTAACGGGGGTGCAAGGGGAGGGAGCGTTCGGGAAAGAAGGGGGCAGGGACGGTAGCGAAACAGCACCGATTCTCTGTAAGCCCCGGCACGGCGCGCGATTGCTCATGAATCGCGCAGAAGACGCTCACTCTCCATTGACGCTCAAACACAGAGATAGCGAAAAAAGAGAAGGCGGAAAGATAGGGGCGAGAGAGAGAACGAGAAGAGAGAAAGAGAGGAAAGAGAGAGGCGAGAGAGAGAACGAGAAGAGAGAGAGGAAAGAGAGGGACGAGAGAGAGAGAACGAGAAGAGAGAGGAAAGAGAGGGGCGAGAGAGAGAACGAGAAGAGAGAGAGAGAGGAAAGATAGAGGCGAGAGAGAGAACGAGAAGAGAGAGAAGAAAGAGAGGGGCGAGAGAGAGAGCGGAGAGGAGAGCCGCGCTGAGAGCCGAGGCGACCAAACTCTCGAGGCACGCGGTGCGCGCGCCGAGGTAATGGGGGGGGGGGGCAATAAGCCGCCCCCCCCTCTACAGACGCACGCGCGTCTCCACGCTCTGTTGTCGGTGTGTGCGTTGTGTGTCTGTGTACGGGTGTATTTGTGTGTCCTGGTGCGGTGTGTACATTGACAAGTGCGTAAATTGAAAACTCATTTGTTTGGAACTATTTTTGTTGATTTGTTCTTCCCCCGCACCTCCGATCAATACGGTTGGCTACGTACGGTGGGAATGAAGTTCAACATACATACCGAAACATCGGTGCTTGTGGAGGCCACGTGTGGTACTGGCCACCCACCTCATCGTGTGCTGTGTCGGTCTTCATAGGTTCTTGCCTAATAGGCCTTGCCCCAACAGGCTGTGTAGGCTACATGGGGGATCTTTATCTTTGTTCTCTTTGCCCTTGAGTGTACAGTATGTGTGTGAGAGTGCGTGTAATTAAGCACGCGGCCCGGTGTAAGGAATTACATTTCCCTTAACCCCCCGTTCGATTCCACCATCCACCCCTCCAACCCCACTCCCCATATTTTTTTTAACTCGTTACTCATTTATCCAGGATGACAACGCTGAGTCCAATTGCTCTCTTTTCAGGAGGGTCCTGTTGCTTCATTGGGGTTTTCTTTTAATAAGTGTTCAGCCAACTTGTGATGTCACAAGTTGGCGAGGCGGGGACAACGCGCTGTCACCGTACAGATGGAAATAGATGGAGTTGAGTCAAATTGATGTACCGCATTCTCCTGGTGTGGTAGGGTACGGCTCCTCCTCGACGCCCGCGTGATCCACCAACGCTCGCTACTGCCTCCACAGTGCTGCACTACAGGCAGCCACGTGCAGCAGCATAGCCACGACCGTCCTAACTCGGTTAGCCTGGGGCCTGGGCCGACTCCGACCCTGGAGCCACGGAGCAGTTGCACCGCCTGCGCCACTCCACGCAGTGGCTGCCGCACTGCGCCCACGCCGCGCCAGGACCCAGCTGCCTCTTCACGCCGCCTCCAATTAAAGTCAGAGGGGAGGGGCCCTCCACCTCCTCCCCTCCCATTCCCGCCCACCTTGGAACACGCGCGCTCTCCTCCCGCGCAAATCGCCATAAAATATAACAATAACAATAATTACGGCAAGGATAACAAAAAAAGGCAACACAGAGACGGGGTGATGAAACAAGCTCTGGGGGAGAGGAAGTTGACTAAATAATCGCCGCGGTTGCAAGTTGCGCTCTTCCTCCGCTCGCGTGAGTAGCGAGTTATTTATTAATGCGACTATATTCTACCCAGATTATTTATTAATGAAGGGGCTGAAATCGAAGACGCTCGCGGGTCGAGAGGACAAAAAGCAGCGGCGACCAATAGCGCGCTCATGACCCCGCCCCGAGCTCCCGACCCTAACCCGAGCACTGCCGTCGTTTCAGCCCCCTTCACCACAGCCACGCACAGCCTGGAGCCCTAGACCCACACTGCGAGTACATAACCCTCGCTCAGTCTGCAACCTCCATCTCGCCCGAGCCCTCCCAGTACCACGGTGGAGACACCCTCCCTTATCCACCCCCATTAAAAGTGAAAATTACGAACTAGTTTTTATTTACCAGCTAAAGCTCACTGAGCTATATAGGTTTTTTTAGAAGCGACCTGATCACAAACTATAGCTCAAAGAAGCGGCTTTTCTCGTGGAAATGTATATCAGCCAAATACTCTAAACGCGCGTTGATTCTCAACATGGAGGGGAAAAGCGGAGGACTCCGAGAAAAATCCACACGACACAAGGAGAGAGACACACAACTCCAAATAAATATACGTCTGGGTCAGGATCGAACCCACGATCTCGTGCATACCAGGCGAGGTAGTTAACATCTCGCCACTGTGGCGCCATTATAAGCGGGATTGTCTCTGACCAATTACCAAACGTAACGAACCCGTCTCTGATCCAGCATCACTTCTGGCGAGACCGTCTCTATCACCTCCCCATCTCTGACCCACAGTTCGGCCGCTGTCAAAGGTCGCGCTTGAGACGGGGTCACGTGAGCGCGCGGCCATCGTCATTGTCCGCGTGGTCGCGGCTTGTGGAGCCCCCCCCCCTCAGCCCAAGAGCCCCCTACCCCCCATCCCCACCCGCCGCCTTTGTGGCAGGTAGAGTCACGGGTAACGTTACCCGAAGCGACGCGTCACGTTACCTCCCGGGTAACCGCGCTGACGTGTGTACACCTGTGTGTGCCGGCCTTCCCAGGTGCCCCATGACAGCACTTGCCCGAAAGTCTATACGGGGGATCATTGTCTTTGTTTTTTGTGCCTATGCGTTTGTACCTGTGTGTGTGTGTGCCTCTGCCTGACACACTCGGTGTGTCCGTGTGTGTATGCCCGCTAGTGCAGTGGATAAGGCGCTGCTCTGCGAAACCGGAGACCCTCGTTCGATTTTTGCTCGCGATCAACAAAAGTGGAAAATATTTTAACCGGTCCTGGGACCTAAAAATGAGTGCCCGGTGCGGTGCGGGTAAACATCAGCATTCGGGAAACAAAGGCGGCTCGGAGTGCTGTTAGCCACCCTGCTCTTTGTGTGCCGTATCGGCCTTATTCGTACTACTCGCTGAGAGCACCTTCACCAACAGTCCGTTGCAGACTATACGGGAGATCTTTGTCTGTATCTGTGTGTGTACGCGTGATGCATGTGCTGCGCGCCGGATCCCGTTTTAGCCGCATTACGCGCGACCCGCGGGACGCGTCTGTGCTCCGCTATTGCTGGCATCGGAAACTCGATACCTGTGAGCGAAGCCGCGCTCCGATTCGCCCCCCACCCACCCCCACCCACCCCTTCATCCCCTCGAGCAATGATCGGCGTCGTGTAGAGGTGACGCGGATCGTGCACGCGCTCCACGAGACTCCCCGTGGCAGGGCGGTACTGCAGGGTGATTACGCAGGGCGATGATGCGGGGAGATACTGCAGGGCAATGCTTCGGGGTTGCCACTGCAGGGAGCTATTCTAGGGCGATGCCATTCGGCGCTACTTACAGGCCGCTTAACTGGACACGTTTGGCAGGATTTGTCAGCACCGGAGTGGGTTAATAACGGGCCGATGAGACGAAGTGACGTTACACGAAGTCACATTACTCCTCCTTCTCTTCCCTAGCGCTGCAGCGTCAGCGATTCCGCCGTAGCGGGCAACATCATTGCGCTGAGCAGCGCGAGGGCTCGGATTTCATGCACATTGTCCCGTGAGCCACGCAACAAAGCCGCACGGCTCTGTTCCGCTCGGTGTTCAGTGACATCTCGTCCAGGTTTTTTATATTTTGCAACGCGCGGCAGCTGTCAACGTGGTTCGAATCGGCGCGGAGGTGGCGGCACTGCGGTCGCGTCATCAACGGCGTCTCCCCTCCCATCAGCGGGGCAGGGGACGGAACGGGACTCATTTTTAATTAGCCAGGCGCACCCCCCCCCCCACGCTGGGTAGCCCCTCGTGGTATTAGGGGCATGTCCGACTGCCTCCGCGGCACGCGCGCGGGTAGAGAGAGGCAGCCAAGGCGGAGTGAACTCACGCTGACGACGACGGGTAGGCGGGTAGGCGCGTCGCCTCCTTACACGCGAGGTGCAGCGGGCGAGCTGGGGGGGGGGGGGTTACGGGGTGAGCGCCGGATATAGAGGTCGGGGGAAGGGGTGGGGGCTGGCAAGGAGGGGGCTGTTCCAGAGGCTTCAGGCACGCACCGCCCTCTTCCTGCGAAGGCATGGATTTGGGGCGGTGGTGGAGGAGGTGGGAGCTGTCCACTGCTCGCGTTGCGTTACCGTTCGCGATAGGGGCGCGATACGGGACGCGGCTGAAATAGCGTCACGGGACGAGTTGGCCGCGCGCTGCGGCGAGCGCGGCGCCGCACGTGGACTGCACGAGCAGCACTCACGCGCCGCGTGGCGTCGCATCACGTGCGGCGGCGCAGATTCAATTCCACGCGAGCTTCCAAATCACATTTGGGCCTCGGCTAAGCGCATTACGCACTCGCGGCGATATCGCCTGCCCCGCCCCCCATCCCCCGTCAGCCGACCCCACTCCAGCTACCGGGGAGAAGGGGACACCTTGAGAAGATTACTCGTTAGCAAATCGGTTCCAGCCGCGTTGCGCCGGCTACTGATGTCATACGTTGTTGTTGCTGTTGTTGTTGCCTGTCTGTGATGCGGGATGCAACACAGTGCCCCCACCCCACAGCCCACCCCCCCCCCCCCCTTCCACGGTCCCCTCCTTGCCCCACGTCTCCCTCCACCCTGGGAGTCCCTGTCCCTCTGGGTCCTCGTGAGACCAGCCCAGTGCCGACGCGAGCCGCGTCGCTTCTTCTCGGCGCGATGTCTCCCGAGACTCGTGCGACGCACGGAGCTCGTAGTGGCCGTGTCAGAGACGCTGAGTCGGCAATCGCTGGCAGCCTGGGTTCGAATCTGTACCCTGAGCTCCTCCCGCGATGCAACGGGTACTCAAGTGTAGGGAGTCGATAATCTCGACTCCCTACACTCGACTCCCTCACCGATGACTGCATAGGGATCGCTGTAACGCTGCGTTTGGGATTCGGGCTACGGTACTGTTCGGGCTGCGGTCGGGAGAGTGTTGGGAATAACGTCTGTATTGATGGTGTTGGCAGGGTTAGGATTCGCAATGAGTGTTGATTTTAGTGTTCGAGTTCGGGTTATCGATAGAGCTCCTTTCTGATTGTCTGCAGCACTAATGTGCAGAGAAGCTGTGTTTCTCACGAATCTGTCTCTCGCGATCCACCAATCTGATTCTCGCGCGACTGAACAAGTGGCCGCGTCCCACCGATGATCGGCAATAAGTTGGACACCAGAGCTGGGCGAGTAAGTCGCTGTCCTCTTTTGGAGGTGGGGGGGGGCTGTGGAGGGGCTAAGCTCCCCTCGCCCTCCTCCCACTCCGCACCCCCGTGCTATTAATGAAATTAGTTTGAATATAAATACCAGTGTTGTTGCGATGCTGTGGGTTTGATTTGTAGCGGCGAAGTTCTAAATGTCAGTGCGCACTCCGCGGGTGCAGCTCAGGCCCGGCCTTCATGACAAAATGCCATTTCCAACGCAGCACGCGCCCCAATCGCATCTACAGAGCCCGGCCCCACACACAACACACAACTCTCATTTCGGTTCAAAAACACACAGGAGGGGGAGCGGGTGTGGATGGGAGGGGGGTGGAAATCCAATTTCTGATTTCATTAATTTGATTTTCGTGTTATGCTTTATTATTATTTAATTCTGTACACTCGTTGTGTTACGCACGGAATCATGCGCGGCTTGGAGCGGCGAATAGGGGTGGGGAGGGGGGGGGGAGAGGGGGGTGCGGCTCAGTGCTGAACAGCACTACAGGGAGTGAGTCGCGGGGGGGGGGAGGGGAATGGGACGGAGTTGCCGGAAAGTCACGGGGAGAGCGCAGGGAAGCTCTCCCCGCCCAGGGAGATGACGGGTGGTCGCTGAGAGGCGCATGGGAGACACGGTGAACACTGGGGGCGGAGAGAGGCAGAATACACGGTGAGATGTGAGGGAGTCACGGCAAGACTGGTGGAGACACGGAGAGACGCGGGGGCGTCACGGGGAGTCACGCGTGAGCGGGGTGGGTAGGTGGGTGCACGATGTAAGATCACGTGGTGCCCACCTTGTGGATGCGCCGCCAGTGTAGCTGCCAGGAGATCTTTCACCGTGTGCCTCGCCAGCCCATCCGGCCCCACCACCTGCTGCTGCTGTGCCTGCTGCTGTGCCTGCTGCTGCTGTTGTTGTTGTTGCTGCTGCTGTTGTTGCATGACTCGCTTCGGAGGTCGCCCTGGTCTGGAGCTGAGTGAGAGAGAAAGCACGTGGACATTAGAGAGCACTTATATATACGTTGTATGGATGTATGTGGAATTTATTTCGCCCCGTACATAGCCAACCCTGCTAGGTTGCGAGGAAAGACAACAAACTAAACAAAGCCGTCAGAGAGCACGTGGCGGTTAAGGTTGCCACGTAACGCCACGTGGCCTCTGTGTGTGTGTGAGCATGAGGATCCCATAGAACTGGCAGCTCCATTGGTGCCCCCATGTCCATCACACTTGAATCTGCGTGACGTAATCTTGCAGCCACTTTGTATTCATCCCATTTCGCATTTAGCGTGATGGGGGGGGGGCGTTTGACCATACTTCACCACGGTGGGCTTTGGTGAAGGGGGGGGGGGGCAGCGGGGAGGGGGGGCGGTGGGGTGATGGGGAGAGGGGGATGGGGCTGGGTGGCCACCACACCCGTTTGAGACATCATCACTCGTGTCACCCGTCAGCTTTTACCCACAACGTAAAAAATGTTGCATTTATGTATTGTTGTTGTGGTTGTTGTTGTTAACGTTCCCACAACGACACGCTGCCGGGCCCCCCCACACAGAGCAGGCGTGGGGGCCCGGCAGCCCCCGCGGCGAGCGGACGGCACGGGGGGGGGCGAATGAAATTAAAGCGGCACTTGAGATGATTTATGTGTTCTCATTTGCATAATGCTGCGGCAAAATTCATCAATTATCCGCCTGCCAACTCCTACTCCGCTATCAAGGGGACGCGTCCGGCGAGCGCGTTCCTAATGAAAAAATAGCCCCGGCTATTAAAACAAACAGCGAGGGGGGGGGGGGGGGCAACACGCACAATAACATACACGCACTCTGCATGCATTCATTAACATACATACACAATACACGCACTTTATAATAATACACAATACATACATGATACATGCACTCAGCATACATACACTATACATGCATTTTATACATACACAATACACGCACTTTATAATAATACACAATACATACACGATACATGCACTCAGCATACATACACTATTCATGCATGTTATACATACACAATACACGCACTACACATGCACTCTATAATAATACACGCACTATACATGCACTCAATAACATACATACACAATACACGCACTATACATGCACTATACAGTACATACACAATACATACACACTATTCATACGTCAAACCCTCAACGCAGACATACACTATAATGTACAAACACAATATAAGTACACCATACATATACAAAGCACACAAAATATAAAGACTGTACACATATTACATACATGCGTACGATAAACATTTATACATACACACTCTCGTCTGTGAAATTATCACCGTTATCATCAATCACGCTACGATTGATTTATTGACAAGTGTTTTTCAATCTGTTTATAAATCGAGATTCGAAAGTAGTTCCCAGGATAAGAAAACCACCAACAATCCGAACAATTCCCTTCGTGAAAAGAATTCGTGTGAAAAAATATTCAATGAATCGTGTTGGTGATGCTGCGTTGGTCATGGTGCACAAACACATCAACAACTCAACGCGTTCGTCAATAACAATACTGTGGCCTTAAAATGAAAACAAATATATAATAGGCGACGTTTCGGGTAACGGACCTTCTTTATCGCATAAACAAATAATGTGCAACGAAGGGCCATTCCGCAACATGCCACCTGTTATATATTTATTAAGGCCACGCAGTGTTATTGACCAACGTGTTCTATTTCATATTTACATCACGTGACCTTACCTGGAGAGCGGCCAAACCAATTAATCAAGGTAACAGCTGGGCGACCACCGCCTCACTGCCATCTGCGAGCCGTAAAGCAACATAGATATTGCGCGCACGTCAAGAGGCGTGCACAGCAGTGCGATGGCATCATCATCATCATCACCACCATCCACCCATTGTTGCGGAAGAAGTGCAAAGGAGAAATTGCAGCTTTAAGTTACACAAAGATCTCCCGTATAGCCTTGAGCAGACTGTTGTGGCAAGTGCTGTTGACGAGTAGCAACACCTATGAAGGCCGACACGGCACACGAGGGGATGGCTGGCCAACACCACCACGTGCCTGGTATTGGCCAAACATCCCGATACTGAAAGATTATCTACAAACTACTTTGTCGGGATCACACGCAGCAGCAGCAGCAGCAGCAACCTCGTCCCCTACTGTCAAACCTTGGCAGGACCCTCCTGCAAAAGAGTCTTGAGACTCAGTGACAAATTCCTGGGTAAAACAAGCGTAAAGGATGACATTCTACACGTTCGCTGATTTACAAGTTGAACATTACTGCCGACTCAGCGTCACCCACTAATGTGTTTGCTTTCATAAGTAAGGCTCATACAGATATACGAACAACCATCACCCTCACCTCGTACCCGGCCGCTTCAGTAAACGTAGACCACCATTTACAGCTTGAACCCGATAATGATACCCCGGGGGTGGTGGGGGGGTATTGAGCATCAGATGAAAATAATAATTCGACTTTCCTGCCAAACTGCCTAGATCACACAACACAATAGTTATGCATAGTATGACAAAGATCCACGTATAGCCTCTAACCAGCTGTCGCGGAAAGTGCTGTCAGCGAGTAGCACCTATAAAGGCCGGCACAGCACACGAGGAGATGGGTGGCCAGCACCACGCCCACTCGCCTTTGTATCCCGAGTGGCAATGTTTACACACCGCAGTAGGTACTCATTTGAGGCTGAGTTGACCTAGGGGAGGCTCAGAACCGGTTCAAACAATCGGCACTCGTGTTAGCCGTGAATGGGGATCAAACTCCGGCCGCCGACTTCGTTGAGCATCGCGCCAATCACTAAACTTACCGCTCCCCATAACAGTCTACGTACATAGACACACACATCAAAGCCATGCATACAACATTAATCTTGGAGACAAATATCCCCTTATAATGAACAGTTTCTTAACAGGCTTGCTGCTGGGGCCGGCTTTGATTTGTGAGCACCTATTAACACCAGGCGGAGAGACACCTAACGATAGACGCAGCGATGGGATGAGTTCGTGTGTGTGTAGGGCAGCCGCCCGGTGGATTGTTAGTCCGTCGCACGGACGGGAGAGCTGGCGATGGAGGCCAGTTTGGTGGGAGGCGTTCATCCAGCAGTGGATTGACCTTGGTGACTGCGATGAAATTCACACGCGCGGCGAGTTTGCCGTGTGCGTGAGCGGTACCGCAGCGTGCGGCTGTGGGGTCGCTTCCTTCCCAGTGCGGAGGCGGGGGGGGAGTAGCGACTCAATGGCGCTAGGACGGCTCCCTGTCCGGGCTCCCCGGCTCCCTGTCCCGGTTCCCTGTCCCGGCTCCCTGTCTCGGCTCGCCGTCCCGGCTCCCTGTCCCGGCTCCCTGTCCCGGCTCCCCGGCTCCCTGTCTCGGCTCCCTGTCCCGGCTCCCTGTCCCGACTCCCTGTCTCGGCTCCCTGTCCCGGCTCTCTGTCCCGGCTCCCTGTACCGACTCCCTGTCCCGGTTCCCTGTCCCGGCTCCCCGGCTCCCTGTCCCGGCTCCCTGTCCCGGCTCCCCGTCCCGGCTCCCTGTCCCGGCTCGCCGTCCCGGCTCCCTGTCCCGGCTCCCTGTCCCGGCTCCCCGGCTCCCTGTCTCGGCTCCTTGTCCCGGCTCCCTGTCCCGACTCCCTGTCTCGGCTCCCTGTCCCGGCTCCCTGTCCCGGCTCCCTGTCCCGGCTCCCTGTCCCGGCTCCCTGTCCCGACTCCCCGGCTCCCTGTCCCGGCTCGCGAGTTTTCCATGGAGCGCGGCGCTCGCATCCATCCGTCTGGCTCCGAGCACGGCGCTGCCATGGTGACCGATTATAAGCAAATCCCTTAATAAGCGAGCCGCTGAATTATGCCGTGACGACTCGGGGGGCAGCAGGGGGGCTTCCGAGTGCCGAGTCCGTCGTCTTCGCCCGGCGAGGCGCGGCTGAGAGTGCAGTCATCACCATCGCTGTTGTCATCAGCAGCAGCAGCGTCGTCGTCGTCATCACGACTGTTATCAAAATGCTAGCCTCTATTGTCATCGTCACAGTCATCACCATCATTGCCAACTTCAACATCGTTGCTATCATAATAACGATCATCGCTGCTATCGTAAACATAACTATCATCAGTCTTCACTGATAACATGACCGTTTTCACCGGAATACTTATTATTATAATCATCACTATGATCATCATTACTATCATTATCATCACAAATATGCTTACTCGCATAATCGTAAAGAAAATCACCACCACTATCACCATCACTTCTACATACACGTCGTCATCATCACCATCAATCATCATCACAGCGGTGGGCTCAGCCAACTAACTTTAGCGTCGTGACCAGCCCCCTCGCCCCGCACCGCTCCCCCGCCCTAATCACGACGCGTTGAGGACCCCGGCCCGCGGGCGCGCGCGCCTTTGATCGCGCCGAGGGGGGAGGAGCGGGCGCGGCGTCCCCCCCCCCCTCCCCCCCCCCGATAGGAATCTTTAATTCGCGCTCCGGCGACAGATCGCTCGAGCTCGGCATCTCACGTGACGCCGGGTGGGGAGATGATAGCGATGGATGGAAGGGGAGGGGGATGCGCAGAGATCAATGGAACTCCACATTGGGGGTCAATGCCGTTTCGCTTCTTGGGGGGCGGGTGGTTGAGGTCAGCAGGGGGTACATTCCCCGCTGACCGCGGCTGCACCTGGATCCTGTGCGTCCCTCGTACTGCTGTTATCATGATTGTTAGCACAATGATTATATTGTAATGGTGTACAGTCAGCCATTTGTCAATCCACCGTTGGATGAAGGCCTCGCCGTGTCGTCGGCCATGGAGGAGGCTGATCAGCCATACTTCACCACGCTGGTCAGAAGGCGGGGAGGACCAGGACCGGATCAGGTCGCTTGATGCATTACGCATTGTGATCATCGCTGGGCCACCGCTGCATCGCCCGCGAGAAATGCGCAGCAAATGTCGACGCGCAGTGACCAGGGAGTCCGCCACTCGAGTGGATGTG